AAAAAATTTTTGTCTGATGGTCCTTCTTATTACTAGTTTTATATATATATATATATATATATATATATATATATATATATATATATATAATATATATCATGCGACAATTAGATAACGAAACGTTTAGTTTTGTACCGCAATTGCAATTTTAATTTCAAATTATATGTCCTATCAGATTCCAAGCTGATGTCCTTTCCGATCCTTTTCTCCGTTTTATGATACTCCGTATAGGTTACTTTATGTATCTATATAATAAACAGTTTATGAAATATTTTGCAGCAAGATGTTTACTTTCTGTTGCAGCAAGTTGTTTCGTCGGTCAGCAGAACGCGCATTCCTTGCTCGTGTTAGTGCTGGCGCCGCAATTCGTCTACCTATCGTTCGGCGCAACGTTCCTTTTAATTGGCTTGGCGACATTGGTGTTACCACGACGGCCGGCGGTGACGCCGACGTCGGCGTCGATGTCGACGTCGACATCGACGTCGTCGTCCTCGTCGACGGCGGCGGCGGCGGCGGCCGCGGCGGTTTTAACGGCGCTAACGGCGTCCCACGCGAATCCGCTGATGCGGCCGCAGCGCGAGATCCCCGGCAAATCGTCCCCGGCTGAGATTCACCGACGGCAAAAGCAGCTGTTGACTCGCGTCGGCATATTCGGCTGCCTTTACGCCATCCTGACAATTTGCCTCGCCAGCACGACCTTCTACGAATGGTGGGGCAGGGAGACGTGGCTTCGAGCCCCGGAACCGTCAACGGCGCCGCGCATTCCCGCTCGGCCTCTCCTACAGTTTTTCGTCTTGCGCGTAGTGGTGACCCTCGGGGCCGGCGTCATGGCCGCCGCGTGGATCTGGTGGCCGGAAGTGACGAGCGCGTGCCGAAAGCTGCCCCACTGTAAGCAACCACCGCACAAGTGCCATCCGGTGCCCGTCGTGCACTGTTACAACGCTGCCACCGCCAGCAGTCCCATACCTCATCAGATTCATCATCTCGCTCATCTCACACCGCCGCAGCATCCTCTGTTGCATCAACACGCGACGATAGTGAATTCGCAGATGCCACACAGAAATCATAAGAAGCATCGGAAACACCGAAAGCATTATCATTCGGGTAGCGAGACGCAAGTTTGAACGATAGTCACGCAAACGCGTCGCAATGCAAATATTGCAATAGTTTGTTGTTCATTTTTTACGTATATGTACCTAGTGCCTTACGTATCTTTGGATATGACCCTGATGATAGCCGGTCACTTCTGATCTTATCCGACCTAGGTAGTCTTAGAATTCCATCCAGAGCCAACGATAACACGTAGCATCTGAATTGTTGCGCGCAACGATCTTGAATGTAAGCTCGGACTGCGAATTGCGAACACCGCCCATAGAAACGATAGAAATGTAATGTATTTGCCTTGTATTTGCCTGCCAACTTTTTTACGTAATTTTTACACATAAAATCATCCATTCTAAGTTATTTAGCATCTTAATTAATGGCCATACACGTTACTTCGATAATATAATTGTCCATTAATGCGTCTCTTTCAATTTTGTTTCATATTGTAGTTGTAACACGATACATAAATTTAATGGCATTTCTCTCCAATTTGTAAATAGAATCGCGTGCCAAAGTCCTGTAGAACTTAATATCCTCGTCGCAGGATAACATAAAATTTTTAATCGCGTCGCGCTGAACAAGCGAGCTTAACGTTCTCGCTTTCGTTCTTGTAGATTTATTGGAAGACTTATGTATTTCGTATCAGCGACATATCAGCGTTGTCGTGATATAGCGCGTAGCGCGTCTTCATTCGCGGGTACGCCCAAACATTCGTGGGTACGAGAGAACGGTCGATGCTAAATTTAAACCTCGAAGAATCGTGGAATAGGGGCGGAGGGGAAGAATACGTTTGTTTCGATCTCCGTCCTCCTACGTCGTGCAACGCCATGATCGTGTAAACTGTAAACGCATATATATGTACATACATACGTATAGGCTGCGTTCCGATATTCACTGTCAGTACTGAAAATTTTAAGTTTACGTGTCGTAAACTCGTAAACTATGGATTTTCACTAGTGATAGTGAATAGCGGAACGCAACCACAGATACAGAATACTGCGTATAATAATTATAGGACGATCGCACTTAATTCTGTGATGTACAATTTCTAGCGGTGCGATTTTCATATGCAACCAACTTTAACCGTTGTTAGGAAATAAATTTGACTCGTAAAATGTCAATTTTCTTTCATTATTAGCACACTTCTTTATTCCCTTGTAGATAATAACAAATTTTAATTTTATAAAAAAAAAATATATATATATATATATATATATATGAGAAATAAATACATTTGATTATTAAAACAACAGATTATTTAAACTGATCGTTAATGTAATATATAATACAGATGTTATAAAAACATTTATATGTTATAAATTATAAATACATTCATATGTGTGTATATATTTCTATTCAATTAATTATGTATGAAAATAACGAGATTCTTTGTTTAGCCAGTTATCCTAGCCATCCTAGATCCTAGGTTATGTTGTAAGAGAGCGAGAAAGAGAATGCGTGCAGCACACAGAAGTCAGGTGAGAAGTTGAACAATTGAGAAAAATAGTGATATTATGTATCATATGAACGAACGGATATTGATCTATATTGAAAAATATTGAAGAAGAAGGTGATGAAAAGATTGTTGTATTTATTTCAACAGAGAGAAGACGAAGACTAGGAAGATTTGATAAAAATTGAGGTTATGTATGTATGAGGTTGGTTGTGAAACGAAAGGACAAGACGTTACTTGAAATATAATATATTATCGAATATTATATATTAAGAAAAAGAACAACTCGAACGTTTTATACCGCTAAATTGACGAAAGAAGCATGGATTCTGAGTTCGAGGAACTTTCGCACGACACAAACATACGTGCTAGACTGAAGCAGTTCAGTGAAGCAGCCTTCAAGATCCAGGATATGGTGGAATTGGCCAGCGATCCTTCACTGTTCGATAAACTTTCCAAGCCAGATAAAATTAAATACAACTTGCTATTATCCTATAGTCTCAATAGTTTATTCTGGATGCACTTGAGAGCCGAAGGTATGCAAGACGTGTAACTTTCAAAATATAAGTTAAATAGCTAATTTACATTTACATTTGTACTTATTATTATTATGAATATGTGTAGGGATCGATCCATCAAACCACCGAATCAGATCCGAAAATGAGAGACTGAAGAGAGCGATGGTACGAGCTAAACAAATCAGCGATAAGAATACACTTATGCCGCGGATCAACAAAGATGCTGCTAAAAGATTTGTGAGAAATAGCTTGTGGGAATTGAAGCAAAAAAAACACAAGAGCACGGAGGAGAAAATTGAAGAATCTGAAAAATCTCCAACTTTATAAATACTCTATTATATGTATATTTTATATTTATATAAGATCTAAACGTACTCCCTACATATGCGTTTCCTACCTTTTTGCTTTTATTTGTTGCTACAATTAATATTTTCATATGATTATTTATTAAAGAAGTAAGGTTTATTTTGCGACGTTTAAATTATTAAATGGATGATAAAAAGTAAGAGAAATCTAGGAAGGATGCCTCTGCCACTAATATGGACTATGGACGTGCCAATGCGCGATTAACACGGAAGGACTTTCTAATCTTTCTATCGCTTCGTATCGTGCGTGAATTAAGAAGCATCATTGCATATTGCAGATATTGCATCATTTGAATCATCTCCGTTAATCATTAAGTATTGCAGCGGAAATACTGCGTTCACGTGGTGTCTGTCAACTGCCATCAGTGTCGTCACACTGGCCAATGCCAATCGCGAGACGCGGGTCGCGGTCGCGGGACAGTCTCGAGAATTTCGAGACTCTCGAGTGCTTTCGATTCTCGAGTTTCAAGTCTCGACCACTCTCGAAGCTTTCGATTCGACGGTGCTTCCCGCTGCACGAGCGACGCGAACGCGAACTCCGTAGGTCCGTAGTCCCGTCCCGAGTCCCGACTCCCGACTCCCGGTAGTCCGTACTCCGTGCGAACTGCGAAACAGCGCGAATCGCGATCAATCGCGAGACGCGACATTGCGATTGAGCAGCTGAGCACCATGGCAGCCCAGTGGATCCGCACAGCAGTAAGTAGGTGCCGCGAATCGCGCCATCCGCGAAATTACCCAAGGAACTGTCGTCGTCCTGCGTAATCCTGCCCGTCTCTACGTCCTCGGTCCTCCTAGCCCCGAGCAAGGTTAGAACTCCTCGAGCCGACCACGGTCGCACCTATCGTTCTACCGTTCTACCATTCTACCATTTTCCATCTCGCCTTATCTCGCCTTCGCTCTTACGTCTTACGCATACCCTCTGTGTGTGTGTCTCTCTCTCTCTCTCTTTCTCTCTCCCTCCCTCCCTCCCTCTCTTTCTACAAATCTATCTTCGTCGCTGTTTCTCCGCGATATAGCTTAATGTTCTAATTCCGTCCAGCCCCCCGTTTTCCCCATCTTAACGGTCCTCTCCTCTGCATTGGGAAACCGGATATTCTAATCGGCATAATTTCGGTGAATCTTGCAATTTTGAACGTGCACGCTCGTCGGGTCAACGTAAAGATCGTTCTTTCATACTCCGTTGAGTCCGTGGCACGGAGAATCACGGAGTCTCACCGGCATCCTGTCGGAATTTTTCCGGTCATCTTTTTAAATCGTTACGTACGTCGATATCAACAGATCTCTTCGAAAATCACCGGTGCACGGCTCTACAGCAGCAAGGTACACAAATGCACCCTTATTCCTGGAGATGGCATCGGACCCGAAATTTCCGCTGCCGTGCAAAAGATCTTCGATGCCGCCAAGGTGAGATACATTTGTGTTTTTGCTAACGCGACAAGCGACAATATTGACCGACTCGTCACAGACACAATAGATGCCACTATTTACTTGACTTGTATACACTAGCTTGTAGAATAATCACACCTCCGACTTGTGCTAACACCAACTTGAAGGCTTTTATTTTACTTCTACTCTTATGTATATACAAGCTACAAGTCCGTCCAACGATAATATAATTGACGTATTGAATGTAGACTTCAGTGAATCAAGAATTATTAACAAATATCTTTTTGATTATAGATTTATATAACTTGAAGAAATTAATCTTCTGTCACTCTAACTGGAATATTTAGAATAATAGTTATTTATTTTAATGTTATTTATTTATCTTTCGTTCCTCTGAAATTCTATGGAATTAGAAGAGGAAATTTTTTCTATTGGTTAAAAACATCTTTCTTCACCACTAATTAGCTTATGATAATCAAAAGGCTTAAATTGCATAATATGATTACTCACGTCATAATATCTCTTTTAACAGTATACACGTTTGATATTCTTATCTGGATGCGTTATTAGTATAAATATATACTTTTTTTTTGCTTCTTCTAAACAGGCTTCTTTTTATCTTTTATAACAATTTTTTCTCAATTTATAAAAAAAAAAAAACAGGTGCCGATAGAATGGGAATCAGTTGACGTAACGCCAGTAAAGGGTCCAGATGGCAAGTTTGGTATACCACAAGCGGCCATCGATTCAGTAAATAGGAATAAAATTGGTCTTAAGGGACCTCTAATGACTCCAATTGGGAAAGGTCACAGATCTCTCAATCTTGCGCTCAGAAAGTAAGCATCCCGGAATTATGTGCAATCAAGCGTAATTTAAATTACGTCCGCGAGATACGCGAGTATATCGGCATCGGCTGAATTTGTACAATAGCGCAGCTGTAACCGTAATATCACGATAGGCGCGCGCGCACACGTGCTCCTTTGGTTTTACGCTGCTTCGCTCGCGAAATAAAATGTACGCGTCTTATATCGCCCTTTGTAAAAATTCGCAGGGAATTTAATTTGTATGCCAATGTACGACCATGCCTATCCTTGGAGGGGTACAAGACACTGTACGACAACGTCGACGTCGTCACTATCAGAGAAAATACGGAAGGTGAATACTCGGGTATAGAACACGAGATCGTAGAAGGCGTTGTACAATCTATTAAGTTAATCACCGAGGAAGCCTCTCGTAGGGTAGCAGAATTTGCTTTCCAATATGCCACGGACAATAATAGAAAAAAGGTACTTGCAAAGTCGAGATATTCGCAAACGGCGAAGCGCCGTGGCAAGTGTGCTTGCGTGTGTGTGTGTGTGTGTGTGTGTCTAATCAGACTAACTAAAATCGATTTCTTTCATAGGTTACTGCTGTACATAAAGCTAATATCATGAGGATGTCGGACGGTTTGTTCTTGAGGTGTTGTCGAGAAGCCGCACAAAAGTTTCCATCTGTCAAGTTCGAAGAGAGGTACTTGGATACAGTTTGCTTAAACATGGTACAAGATCCAAGCCAATACGACGTGCTCGTCATGCCTAACTTGTACGGTGATATCTTGTCTGATATGTGCGCTGGACTCGTCGGGGGCCTCGGTCTGACACCCAGCGGGAACATTGGTCTGAACGGAGCCTTGTTCGAATCGGTACAGTTATTACAAACATATAAATAAATTTTACATTAATTTTTTTTACTTTACGTGACAAAATGGTAACGTTGATTGTGCAGGTACATGGAACGGCGCCCGATATTGCCGGCCAAGATAAGGCAAACCCCACGGCGTTATTGCTCTCCGCGGTAATGATGCTCAAATATATGGGCTTGACCACGCACGCCAAGATCATCGAGCATGCTGCTTATGACACTATTAAGGAAGCCAAGTATCTGACTGGCGATCTAGGCGGCACTGCCAAGTGCAGCGAGTATACCAATGAAATTTGTAAGAAAGTTTCCGCGCAAACCAAATAAAAAGGCAGACATTTTGTTGGCCCAACGTTGAACTGCCAAATACTCGTAGACGTCGTGCGTCCACAATGAAGGGATCGCTATTTTTTACCATCTGTTGTAGCGCATGCAGTTTCGTGCGTGCGTCTCCATTATAAACTCGCACGCGGACGTGACGGCGTGCGTATCGTTAAGTATTTTTTCAGTCGTCCACGGGTGCGTTCGGGGAGACGCTAATAGCTAATAGCGCTATTTAGCGCTACAAGTTGTTTGCGGAGCTAGATGGTAGCGCTAGCAAACGCTATCGTAACGTCACTGATCGTAATGTTGTAGGTCGTAACTGCGCGTTACTAACGCTTTCCTTCCGAGATAGTGCATTGGTAGCGGTAGCGTTTGCGAGCTCTACGAACAGTGGCAGTAAATTGTTTGCATCTGTTTATCTGGGAATTAATTTCAAAATTTTCTGTTGTAAACGTTGACCTGGCTACAAATATAAAATGGATCATACATATAGAAATATACTCCAAGTACTGCTGGTATTAATACTTTTTTACGATCTTGCTCTATTTTACTATTTGGTTAGGCTTGAAGTTAGGCGTGGTAGCGAGCTGCCCGAACGCACCCTATATGTGTGCATGAAGATTTTCTCCCTTTTTAGATAAATTCTCTCGATTTAATTTGACTTGATAATTCGACTTGATTTCAATGATTTGTCAAATACGAAATTGCATTTAACTTTCTTTATAAATTCATCAAATTCATAAGAAACGCACGTGCGCCATCGTTACTATCGTCTATCGACTGCATCGACCGACCACGTTTCTGTATATAACCGATATAATACATCGCGTTTAGATTGTGCAGAGATAAGGTCTTTGTAGAGATTGTAAAGATTATAGCCATGTAAATTAAATAGTAGAAATGCTGTATCATAATTTTAAAGAAGATTGTTATGCGAGACGTATGTCTTACAGTTAGACTAAGAATAGTTGAAATTATTGAACTTGCGCAGTATTAAAAATAAAAGTTTACGAAATTAACCCAACCACATTTTATTCTACATCGCAAATTATATTGACCTTTATACACAGAGATATCTCTTAACTACGTAATACTTATCGTTACTTATCGATTTTGAAAATTCATAATTCATAACTTATATATCCTGAAAAGATTCAAGTTATCGATTGTGGAGAGGGGCGTATTTATACGTTTAATAATTTTCGCGCATATATATTTTTCCTTGATTTTATTATATAGCGACGTGAATAATAATTTTCACAGGAGGTAATCACGAAGGAAGATGATGATGATGATGATGATGATGATGATGATATCTACGGAAAGCCCTCTCGATCGTTCTTTATATATACACCAACATTACATAAGAAAAGAGGTGTATCGCTCCTTTCCTTCCCTCGCAAAGTGTTACGTTATAGCACTCATCCCGCGAACACTTGATAACTTGCCCCTACCCTCGCTCTTGTCGTATTCTCGTTCTCCACAGATTCTCGACGTCACGACGATATGCTATGGTGGGATTGGCCGCTACTGCCGCTGAGGAAAATTCTCAAGTATGAGAAAAGTTGCCGGCCATATTTCACCGGTGGGGCTGGAAACGGCGAAGGAAACGGCCAAGGAAGGAACGAGACGAGACGCGAGACGAGACGAGACGAGGAGGGGACCAAGTGTCATCTTCGCCGCTCGTTAATTCCTTCTGTGATTTATCGCGATCCGCCGCGATCCGAGTGAGTAATAACTAACTTCTCCGTTCAAAAATTCAAATATTACATTTTCCTTTAGATGAAGATACGGCGTCGTACCGCCGTATCTTTTTCATGAATCATGGTATTCGTATTACGCCGAAAAAAAAATCATATATATAATCGCGCGTGTCGATTGTGAAGATTGTAACAAATTAAATAACATCCAATTCGTATCCAATTCCTTAATTTTAAATAAAACCGTGTTCGCGGGTAGACGCTTGGTTTTTTTTTACATCCAGAAACGACGTATGACGTATATCTCACGTGTTATTGATTCTCAAACTGTGCGACATATGACATTAAACGCGCGCGTTAAAATGCGTTTTAAATCCGGCAAAACCCTCAATATAGCGGCGGAATTGATAAACCGTCGACCGTCGTCATACCATAAACGCTCTTGTCTGCACGATGTAACGCCCTGTAACGGTGATGCTAACGAGTGTCTACGAGGCCGTGCGACTCGTGCGAGTCGATGCAAGAAGCGCGATGTGCATCAGTGCATAGTGCCATGCATATAGTGTATATAAGCTGCGGGCTGCGGCGCGGCGCGACGGGGTAGGTGCACAAACTCACAAAGGTCCGACACTCCCAAGCCCAAAGCCCAAGTGCGGAAAGCGCGCTGCGCGGCGCGGCGCATGCATATTCAACGGGGCACGAGGCACGAGGCACGAGAGGCACGAGGTACACGCGGGGCCACACCGCCACACACCCACCAAGTACGGAACGGGACGTGTGCGAATGCATGCGTGCGCGCGTGTGCGCCGCATCGCAGTCATAGGAATAATAAAAATTCGAGGGTTGAAATTATTTAGATTTATGCCCGCTCTCTTGTCGTCGTGCCGTCGTACCGTCGTGCCGTCGCGCCGGTGACGAGGCGCGATTCGATTCCGGGGAACAAATTTCATGCATTATTCAGGATCCGGGCCCGGGCGATGCAACTACCCCGGTCGCAATGGAAGCGATCCTCTCTCCAGTCTCTCCTCAACAAAAAAAGTCGTTTTTTAATCTCTCCTCGCGCCCCAATAACGCGCGTTGTACGTTGTACCTCTCACCCTTCGATTATATTCTTTAAGGAGCGGAAGACGCGGCGAGCTGCTTTACGCGAAACGAATCCAGCGCGTCGCGACACATTCGCGGTTCCATAGGTACACTTTGGAAGAAAAACGTCCATTTTTTCGCGGACGCATTACGAGTTACGAGACGTTTGGAAATCTTACTTCAACATCGATATTTCATTCATCCTCTACGACCTCTACATTAGAGTCATTAGAGAGCGATCAGTCGAATATTCTTTATTCATAAAACGATTGACGTTATCAGCTGTTATCACCCGTTCAAGTATTTCTTTCTGCCGTGTTTCGCGTACCGTTTACGACCGTAGCGTATCCTGACGTAGTGCTCGCGCGCAATTTTTTCCGGCTGGACGTATTTGGCATTTCTCTCGTTAGTCTCGTTTGAACGTATTTACCTGCAGACTGCAGAGAGATATTCGACAAGTGTCGTCGCGGCGCGAACGGTAACATTTTAATCCCGCCCAGGCGCCCACGCAAGAACGTCACGCATGTTTAATTACGTGTTTCTGTGCGCGACGACACGATAATCGTCTTATTCGCGGATTAGCCAGTCCAACATCTGTCAGTTCTGTTACCACTCTGAAAACTTTTGTTCCATTATCCTCGCGGACTCTTCGCGCGTCGTATATGTCGTATCTTCGAGTCGAACCCGGTGCTATCTCGTATTCGGATATGAGCTGCGCTGTTCTCTTTGTAATCGCCGTCTCTGTCGCGAGCTATGTCGATGGCGGAGTTTATTACCTGGAGAATGTAGACGGGGTGCGAAACAACGCGATCTATCCGATCGTGGAACAGCAGGCCTCTCGCGATCTGGACCTGGCTTTTTCCGCGGGAGATCCCCTCGAGAACGAGAACGAGAACGTCGGCGTCGTATCTCCGACCAGAAAGGTAAACTTAAAAACCTGAAAGCTATTCCTGCATCTAAAACGCATAAAAGAATATACAAAGGTCACAAAGTCCTATGTTACGTGTGTACGCGTTACTATTTTTCGTATCTTTTTCCTTTTTTGTGACCCTCTGTTCTTCAAGTGAATCTCCTATATGCCTTATATGCCCTGTGTATTCGATGTATCTGGACGATGTAAATTTAAGTTTGACAGTTCTATGTCGACTTGATCAGATATACACTCTCGTCGCCCCGGAAAAGCCGTATGTCGAGTTGAGCAAGAACGCGGATCGACCGGTCGCGTACTACAGATTAACCGAACCGGCTACCAGAAGAGGCAGCTTGGACGACGTCATTCTCGTTCCGCAAGGAGGCCGGAACGTGATGAAGCTGAACAGCAACAATAAGGGCGAAGTGATCTTGGAGCTTCGCGTCATAGCTACGCACGATAGCACGTAACTCGCGCGTTAAACGTAAACTTTTATATTTCATTGCGATTTACGAGGAAGCGCGAGCTGATAAGGGACGAACGTTATGCAGTTAAATCGTATTGCTTTTATTACGTTCAACTTACAACAACGAGTACTTTCTATCGATACATATAGATACATCGGGATACTATTATAATATTTACAGTACATATCACATGTCGACGTCGCATCGGAGCGACGTTCACTCCGATGAGATCTTTAATGCGACCCTTTCATTCTCGCCAAGACGTGATTCGTAGTCTTCGTCTTCTTTTTTGATTGTTTAAATTGCTTAGAATGTATAATGGAATCAAATCAGGAAAGACAATTCTATAAATGTTGAGAGAAAATGTATAAGTGCGCGAAAATTTTACAAACATCTTCAATAAATAGCGCTAAATTGCGATAAATCACTGTTAGAAATACGAGAAATAGTGTATTTATTCGTACGAGAAAGAAAGACGTTTTTGCACGAATAGAATTTACATAAAGCGAATATCTTTCGAATCGTCGCGTCGGCGTCGTACGGAAATGTATCACACACGTTACGTGCGTACGAAGCAAGTCCAGTTTTGTGCATAGTCCGGCGAGTCCTATTTCGCCTGAGGTACTATATTACGGCGAAAGAATATCATCGCGGGTGCAGTTTCGAAGGTGTTACACGAGAGAATGCGAATACCAACACTACTACTATTTTAGTGATTAAAGTGGAAAGACCGTCCGCGGCGCGCCGTCCTTTGCAAATTGCGTTCGTTTCAGGTTACAGAGTACAGGTATAAGTTATTATTCCGTTACTCGTGACGTTTGCTCGCTCGACGAATCGTCCTTCGGTTCTTTCACGTAGTCTACCACTAGCTCGAGACCGATCAGAGCCCGCAAATCCTTTCTCTCCTCTTCGGAATTTGTCGTCGTACTGCCGGAATCCTCTACCTTCGCAGGGTCCTCGCCAGCTTGAAAAACCATCACGATATTACGAATGTTTTATCGCGGTATACCGTATATATATATATAGGTATACGTCTCTTTAAAATATAATAGCGAAGACAATGTCTAGCACGTATCTCACGATCAAAATATTGGATGAGCAAAAATAGAAGGAGTATGCTTTTCAAAGTCTTAATAACAGAAGACACGCGCCAATATAGAGTGTGATATTTCTATTATCTTACCGAAAATACTTTGAAACATATATCACCGATGTCAAGCAAAATTGACGACGTTTGATCCTAACCGAATACGCAAAGATTAAAAAAAGCAGCGACAGTAATTGGGGAATATTAAAGAAAAATAGGTGAAAACGCGCAAATGCGATATATATTCTACCTTGGTGCGTTTCCTTCGACGTCTCCTCGTTCTCCATCGACGCGTCCGTTCTGCAGGTCTTGATCTGCTGAATGTCCTGGTACGTTTTCATGAGGTGTTTCAAAATATAATTGGTACCCCGCGTGTTTTCCGTGTCCGGATTCTTGGACGTGGTGGCTTCGTCGCGGGTAAGATTCAACGGCCGATTACCGCACTCCTTGGACTGCGGCACGCTGAAGGCCGAGCAATGTTTGCTCTTGAAGGATAGCTGCCGTTCGCTCGCGTGCTTGCGATCCCAAATGTGGCCAGAGACGCGCAAGTCTATGAAAAAGTGCAGGGGATCGATGCCGGGATAGGATTGCGGCATCGGATACGGTGGGTACCACAGAGGTCCGGGTAGAAATTCCGCCGGGCTGGACACGCCGCCGCCGCCGCCGCTGCCGCCGCCTCCGGCGCCGGGCAAAGCGAAGCCTTTCACGCCCTGAAGGACGCCCTCGCATCCTCTGCCCGGCATGCCGGGCAAGAAGGGGCCTATCCGCGACAAGTCCAACTTTTTCTGTTCCGACACTTGCAGAGGGGATGACACCTCCTGACCAAGCGCGATGCTCTTCGAACGATCCTCGTAACTCCTGCCGCTGTCGAACGTACACGTTCTACCTCCGCTGCGGTCAACCTGGTGGTGGTGCTGCTGCTGCTGCTGCTGCTGCGAATCCTCCGGCTTGATCTTCCGCGTTTCTCCGCCAGGGAAAACGTTCTCCGGCGGCTGGACCTGCTCCAAATGCCGCGGTCGTTCGTCGAAGAAACTCTTATTACCGTGCCGCGGAACGTCGGTCTTGTTCTCGTCGATGGGTTTAAGGATGTCGCCGCCAAAGTTGGGTTTCTGATCGAATGTCGCGCCGACTTTGTTCTCCATCGTGTCGAGGTAGGTGTCGGATCGCTTGACGTCGTTCTCCAGACGAGTGTCCGACGGTACCTGAGGCGTTTGCTGCTGCGCCGTCGAGTGATAGTACTTGTCCGAATGCTGATGATAATGATGGTGATGATGATGCGACCGTTCCTTCGTCGTGAGCTCCAAAGGCCTGTCTCGGGCGTCTCGCCAGGATCGCTTGCGGCGTCGCGGCGCGTTTGGCGTACCGCCGCCGCCACCACTGCCGCCACCGCCACCGCCGCCACCAGCCGACGATGCTTCCGCTTTGGCCTGCACGAAGGAGCGTAACATTTCGCTGAAGAAGAAGCTATGAGGTGTCAGCGGCACGTTGTACAGATACGGAGGAGTGGCCGCCAGTAGACGAGAAACGAGATCTCCGCCCGAAAGGGAAGCCGGAGTCTTCAGCGTCGATGGGTCGCCCGTGGTCGTCGTCATTTTGCCGGCTATTTGGTAAAAGAATAATCTCTAAGATTGGTACGTGCATTGTCATCAGATTATCATCGGATACTCGGCGTATCTTGGATTAACTTCAATTTATAATATATAAGGTAATTTAATTGAACGCGCGCCATCTCGCCACGTCCGCGAATCTTTTTCATTTATTGCTATTTCAGCTACAACGTGAATTGCGGATCTACGATGCACGCATCACACGCAGCGAACTTTGTTCATCATAACTTTAATTCTACTATTTTTATTCCACTACTTTTTATATGTCACACGTTGGTTTTATTATCTCTGTCTGAGATTAACAAGATTTTTAACGAGTTATATAAAAGACGGATTTTCGTATTTCATTTTTCCCAGTAATCGTGAATATCCTGCAAGCGACGCAGAGTAGCGCGTCGTTTGACAACATATCGTGTAATGAGTGTGTACGAAACTCGCGTACAGGCTCGATTCGCCAATGTGGAAGTGAGCTACCATTGTCTTCTGAAATTAATTGAATGGCTCCCGGCCTTAAGTCTAAGACCAAGGAAGAGCGGAATCTACGGTAGGGCGGGATCGGCGGGATGAACCAGCCGCGTATCGCGTCATCCATTAAGGAATACTAATTTCTGTCAACTACACGTTCGCTTTCGCCCGTTGAGTATGAGGGATATATTTCTCGCGCAAATTCGCGTTGACGCAGGCATTTCAATTGATATCCTTACCCGCGCTCATCATTTTGTCTTTCCGCAAATTCTTGCATTGTATAAAGATCAGCTATTAAAGAAGGATCGTTATTTCGCCGTTGCATTCGCATCATACGCGATATACATATATGTTTCCGTTGATTTTTACAGCGAAGAAATGTCTATGTAAGCAGAAAAGATAAATTATTCTTTGAAAATACGATAATCTTGAGGATAATTTTGGTTTCTCAATTTCATGTTTTTAGACGACGCGAAAAGATGATGCGGATCGCGACAGCAGACAGATAAAACTCTTGCGGCGCGGGGACCACCCTGCAGTCCCCGTCGCGGTCGTCGAAGAAATATTTCTTCGTAATAGAGAGCAGAGGTTCCTGAAAAGATTTCAACGCGGAAAGACCGAAGAGCAGCGAGACGTGGAAAGCAGGGAGAAAGAGAAAGAGGAGATCTGTATCCGCGCGTCCGCGCGTACAGAGAGAGAGAGAGAGAGAGAGAGAGAGGGATCGGGCATTGTTTCGGTCCATTGTTTCCCAAACAAACGGCGTCCACGTTGTTTCGTCAGGAGATATTATGTTCAGCCAGACAGGCAGGACGAACGGGAAATGGACTGCTGTCAGTTTTACTCTTCGTGATAAATACCCATTGCCGCCACCGCCATAATTCCGTCCATCCGTATTGCGCGATACACGTCGAAGTTATAGACGCGATGACAAGACTGCGCGTTTCTCTTTACGTATTAAAAATTTTCTCGATCAGCCTCTTTAACTCGATGAAATCTCGAATCGTAAAATTCAAGTCATTAAAATTGCGATTATTAAAATTTTCGTTACTTTCATCACTTATTTTCCCGAAAAAAAAAATGAGATTGTGTTGTTTTTTCGGGCATTCTCGATTTCCCGGTAATAGTTGACGATTACGCGAGAGGCGTTCGCCTGGAGGAAATCCGCAAGAGAAAATCCTCCGGGGCATCGCGGCGATTTTTTTCTCGCGCGGAGACGCGGAGACTCGTTTAAGAGACAATGGTACCGGTTGAAGAGCTTTCCAAAGATCGTAAAGGGACTTTACGGGACGACTTGATATTATTATTCCGCTCGAGGCGAGCGAGACGATGGAGGATGGAGCGCGCGGATCACTCCGCACTCCGCGGCGACGTCGACGACGCGTCGTCAGGGTCGTCACCGTGGAGAGGAGAGACGATCTCGATTTCACGCGGCGCGCGAGGGAAGGCCGGTTTACGATTCATAAGACAACTCGGCGGATTGAATTAAGCTCGCTCGCGTTGCGGCAGCTGCCAGTCCCGTCACCGGGACCGCTACCGGGCGGGCGGCGCGAATCTGCATAATCCCGTTCGCGTCGACGATTCTAATTGGCGGATTGTTTCAATCTCTGTCGCTGCGAATATTTGCATTCGCGCTGCTCTACCTCCCTCGGCCTGCCGCCCTCGTTCCCGCCCCCTGGCCCTGGTACCCTCTGCCGTCAGCCGTCACCCTCTCCTCAACTCTGATCTCGCATCTCGTATCTTTCTCAGCTCTCTTCGTCCTCTCGTTGTCGTCGTCGTCGTCGTCGTCGTCTCTTTTTTCTACTCCTGTAACCTCCTTTCGGCATTCACTTTATCGTCTCTATCGTCCCTATCTCTCTCCCACCGTGAGACGCAAAGCGATAGGAGATGAAATAATGAGCCACACGACGCGTCTCTTATTTGATTTTTATATTCAACTTGATAAGATATATATTTCTCTCCTTTCACTATATTATCTTTCATATAGACTACACGGACTACATGGATTACACATGGATTATACAGAAGATTCGTGCAGTCTGTCTATCATTTTGATCAATGTAATTAGACATTTCATCAAGATCGCGAGTGTCATTCGTATTTACCTCTTTGCTAGAATATGGTATTTCTTATAAAATTGTAAAAGAAATATTTTAACCCAATTGTCGTCATCTAATTTGCAGCAGCCTACTTTATTTCGCATTGTTATAGACACATCGCAGACGTGCGCTTCTTCCGCTCAAGAGCGCAGCTCTCGACGCTTTCGATCGCTAACCATTTTCACATTATTTTTTATAGTTGTCTTGTCCAAAAATATTGTTTAAAAGTATTTTGAAAATATTCCTTGTTGTATTGCATACGGCATACGTACACGTCCTAGTCCAAAATACGTACACGCGTGTCCTGGTCCAAAAGTATCTTAAAAAATCAGTCCGCTTAAGAACTTGTTATTTTGAAATCGATAAGTCCAGCATCAACTTAATCTTGTCGAAATCGATATGTAATGCATTACAAAAAAATTGTGATGTTAAAAATAGCTTTACGTCACTTTTAAAATAAGTAGCTAGCTCAACTACGCGCATCACCATACATTAAGTAATGTCTAATTGTAAGTCTAAAGTTTAAAGCAAGTTAAAATCTCGTATCTTTTTATACCGATTATCTTCACACTTCAAAGTTAGCGCCTTCAGCTTTTTTTTCGAGAAGAGATGCGCAATTCTTTTATTATTCACATAAATATTTTTATTGCAGGGCGCTCTCGCAGCTCACAGCGCAAGCTCTCGACGCTCTCGTCCTTGCTTTGCATAAGAAGAAAAAACCGTCAGTCGAAAAGCAGAATCTGAACTTTTTTATGGTTGAACTCTCTGCGTAATTCAAACGTCCTATTCTTCGTGTCACACGAAGGAACCTGCTCGCCGAAGGACGAGATCCTTGGAGATGTTGCGCCCCCAAGAAATAAAATAATCGTCAGACACGCGTACTCTTTCGTCACTTCGCATTCGAATGATTTTTTTTATACCTTTTGACACTTTGCTATTATTATCACTCAACAGTCAACATTATTTATTTAGCACGCCTTGATAAATTTTCTCGAAATACAAATCAGAATTAAAAATTCTATAGAGATGTATCTACATAGCGTAAAGGATAAAAGTACTGAAAAGAGAGATATGAATGCGCGTATAGATGCGTTAATATTAGACAAAGTGTCTAAAAAATTGGAAAAATTTTACATTCGAAAAGAGACAATGTCGATTTAATGAAACTATACCATTTAAATATCATTTCATTTAGTGTTATATAAAAAATTAAATCTCTTGGCGACTTGTGAGACCCGAGGGGATAAGGATTACGGCCACGTTATGCGAGAGATCGAGCCACTATCATAGACAGAGGTAACCCCACCAAAGAATGCACGAATGATTGTTACGCGATGAAAATTATTGCGACCGTCGCACGGTAATCACACGTTACGTGCGTTATACATATATTCTTGTATATGAAAAGAAAACAACGCGTTTGCGGAATCGATCGTTTTGATTATCATGCAGATGCGATATGCACGGCAGATGTTTAACGGGAAGGACATGAAATAGCCAATTAAGCGGTACAATCGCGGCGTCATTAGACGGTGCGTATGACGCGTAATAGAGGTGTAACAGAGAATCATCATCACGTCGCTTCCCCCGTGAGGAAAGATATTTTGTCTACGTTAAAAAGAAAGAACGCTACCTAAAATTATTTCACTAAATTTAAATACCAACTCACGTAAGTGTCGTAAATAATTTAATTAAATCCCGACTCGCGAGCAAACAACGCGGGCTAAAGATCTTTCCGTCTCGAAACACGTAATCTGCACGATAGTTTTCGTCATGACGAAATCTAGATAAGATAAAATGGTGCATGTAACTTGTAACCTTTGCGCGCTCGATTGCAAACGTGCGCTCTTTATTTCGCGTTAAACTCTTTGGCGCTTTTCCGTGCCGTTGCGCGAATTATCGACGACATACGATGACACGCGGCGAAAGAGCGGTCCAGCGGTTCTCAAGGGTCGCACTCACCTGTACGCGCGACGACGGCGAGAGCGGCGGGATCCTCAAAGTTGGCGCCGCTTCGTAAACGATGATACGCACGACGATTTATCGGTCAGCCGGGATCTATGGTAAGACGCGATTTATGGATCCCTCCTCGTTCGTCCAAGGATACGGCACGGAGTCCGACGCCGACGCGTGCCGCTGGCCGTGGCGGCAAATGAGATAATAATCGGAGGACTCAGTCACTCGTCGTCGACGGCTGCGTGGCAGTCGGGATGGTTGTTCGACGATGGTGCGGTGGCGGCAGCGGTAACGGTGGCGGTGGCGGTGGGGGTTGTATTCCACCATCCCTTGGCGACCGTCGCGGTCGGCGACGAGGGTGCGAGAGAGTAACGGGGGAGCGCTGCCTGCGGAAGAGCACGGGCCGGGGGACGAGAGAGGTAGTGGAGGAAGAGGAGGTGGCGGAGGAAGAGGAGCAAGAGGAGGGCTAGGAGGCGGGAGGGTGGTGGTTTTTGAGATGATCCGGCCAATCTGCGCATCATTTCCCCGATGCATCCCCCCCGCACCGAGCCGCGCGCGTAGCGGCAAACCGGCGCGGATTCCGCACCACCGCAAGCAGCGTGGAACCGTGGAAGCCCTGTTGAATGCCACATTTCGAGGCAAAGACGAAGTAGGAGAGAGAGAGAGAGGGGGGGCTGCAGGCTGCGGGGAGGAAGCGAGGGAGGGACCGCGGGTGTTCGCGACGTGAAGAATGGAACGGGAGGAAGATAGAGACAGATAGAGAAAGAGTAGCGCGCAACGAGAGAGCAGGGCGGCACTAAAAAGTGAAGAGGGAAGAGTAACGTCGAGGGGGGAGGAACTGGCTCTCTCTCTCTCTCGCGGTAGCGCTGCTAGGGGAAAAAAAAGTGGAAAACAGATATAGGCGAGGAGGAATCTTTCTCTCTGGCGCGGCGCGACGGGGCAGCGGGGCAGCGGGGCGGTGGGCGCACCACCGCACCGTTACCGCGACCGCGGCTCGTTCCTCCGCTTCTCTGTTCCGGCGTGTCTCTTCGACAAGGGTACGTATGTATCCGATACGTACGTGTTTACACGTCAACGCGAAGGGATCGGATCGGGCATGCCTCCGTCTCTAAAGCCGGATGGAATTGAAAAATCCGCGTTTACGAGGGATGCAGGATGCAGGACTCCATCTTGCAGGTAGGATAAGATTTTTGTCGAAACGTCCCTGACCATCGCTATCGTATACTTTTATTACTTACTACTTGCTTCGTACGTCAGTCTTGTGGAAATAAGTTTTCCAAGAACAAAGAATAAGAGAATGCCCCTTCTTTCCTCTCAAATCTTCTCCTCTTTATTTCAGAAAATAATGTATTAATCCCACGTTCGATTTAATATCTCTATTTATAGCTGTATATATTCGCGAGAGGCGAATTGATCCCCCGCGCCGCGCCGCGCCGCGCGCATTCTAAATTCCGACATTCTAAATTTCGTAATAATATCGATCACAGTCGAGCGCTTCACGCTTGGATTAGATGTTAAAGGATATCAGGGCTTTCTCCTCGGTGCGTTACGCGCGCGACAGAGCTCGCGGAACCTTACACGGAAATGCACGAGCGACGTACTTTTCAACAGGAGAATCGTGCACGCATGAGCGAATGTAATACAGCTCAGCTCCGTCAAATTCGTTGGAGATCGAAAGAGTACACCCGCCGCGCTGCACCGTATTGCCCGTATTCAACGTCTGCGAGATTTATAAAAATTTTCTACGTCTCAAATAATTGCCAAATATAATTTTTTCTTCTAAATAAATATTGTAAACTCTGCATGCCGGCTAGATCATTGTACATTTTATTTGCAGGAATTTGCAGGAACGAGTCTTCCTATATATGACACTGATAGTCCAAATCTCAAAACTACGTCAGCGTCATTAGAATTAAAGAAATGCTCATCTCGTAGCGTATGTATACGTGTCCGTACATGCGTGTGTATCTGATTGTGAAATAAATAATTTCGTTCTTTATTTTTAAATATTCCTTATTTTAATAAATAATTGGGCGACGCACGTAAATTATTCCGATAACATCGAGCGTGTTTCTTCGAAGGTGGTAATTAGTTCTTTTGCAACGTGCGAGCGGTCGATTAATGGGAGGGAGATAAATAATGCGCCAAAAGTTTATCGCGGCGCGTTGCGCGCATTTATTATTTACCGAGACTTTTCCTGCGGCGCGCAGTCGCGTTCTCTTTGCCCGATACAAAAGCTGGATGACCACTTACGTCACACCGTACGTGAAACGATGCTACGTGGTCCGTGCGCGCCGCGAGCTAGGGGTAGCAACTATAAGCAACGCGTGAAAGCGCTCGCTCGGTCGCTCGTCGCTCAAGTCGGCGCTCCGTTTCTACCCTTCGCTCCCCCGCCTCCCGTCTCCCGCCCCTGCTTCTCGTCGGCCGCGGCCGATTCGACGTGGACCCGTGGACGAGGACAGGCTAAATCCGTGCACGCCACGCACCGGCGACACGTTCCCGGACGTTCAGCTCATTAATTATGTAAAGAATTTCTCAAAGTTGTCTCTCTCGCGCATATCGCGACTCTCGCGCTAAACACATGATTCGCCGGATTCTGAGTTTTATCTTTTGTCAAATTTTCGAGATCAGTTTTCTAGATAATAAAGCTAGCGCGAAACGTTATTCTATGCCATATATCTTCGTATCTTTTTCATGCGGAATCATCACTTTTCCGTGATGAATCGTGCCACCAGTTGCGGACAGATTGGATATTTATAATAGCTTATATATCAAGAGCGCATTTTGAATCACTTTCTATCTGACGTACGACGTACGTTCTTTCGACGATGAATAACTCTGAATAAATTAGGGGAGAAGGATAAGACGCGCGCGCGTAGCGGCTTGGCTGCTTGCAGCGCGGCGATTCGAAATCGCTGCTCCCAAGAGAGAAAGACAGGAGGAAGAATGAGAGGAAAGGGGGACACACACATTACGGGAGCGATCGTGAATCCGCTCCCGTAGAAACAGCTCATCCTTCGCGGCCGAGCACCCTAAATTTCAATCGACGATTCGACCAAGGCACCAAGAGTCTCTTCTGACTCTTCGGGCTCGAGTGCCCGAGAAGATAACACGAAGAGGAAGAGTGAGCGAAATGGAGGCAGAGAGAGAGAGAGAGGGAGAGAGGGAAAGAGAGAGGGCGCAGGGGAAACACGTTGCCCGAAATTCGCCTCGTCGCGCGTTCGGCGACTGGATACACTCTTATTTGTCCCCGCGGCAATCTGTCCCCGACTGCAACCCTTCTCCCAGCTTTCTCAATACCATCCGCTACCGCCATCGCCGCCACCACCACACCTTTTCGGTCGGCCCCTGCAACCCCAATCTGCTCCCTTTCCGCATTCCCCAACGCCAGCCTCCGATATCAGCCGTCTTCTCTCGCAAAACGAAGAGAGCGCGAAACCGCCAAGTCTCACGGGAATTTTAAACACCGACGATTCGTCTGCAGTGCTCTTTTTCTTCGGTTTTCCATCTTCTTTCTCCTACCGCCCAGTCTTCTTTCCTATCCTCTCGACCGTCCTTCTTTCTCTCAAGCCCCGGTAGGTGGAATTCGAGAGCGCGCCTCTCATCGATATGGGTGCTCGGTACAATACAGGTACAGGCTAGATCTCTTTGATATCCCCGCCCTCGCACCCTTCTCTCCTCTTCTCCAGCTTCACTCGCAGCGTGCGAAAATTGAGGACATCATTGGCCGCCTCTGCCTCTCCCGATAACGCTGTCTTTCAAGGACGCGCGACATCGCGCGCAAGAGTCGAAAGTCCGATCGCGTTCATTCCCTATCCATAAATCCATACCCTCGCGAATTAATCCAAGCTTAGTGAGCCACGATTGAGCGAGGGTGACGCATTATTCCGTGATAATGTGCATTTAACGACCGGCTCTTGTAAATCAGAAACTCTGTGGCGTGAGACGTGAGACGTGAGACCACTTTAAATATATCTTAATTAAACGTCATCTAAATGTCGATGTTTCTCGCGTAAATCTTTCTTCGGATACGTCGTGTATGTCGGGTGTCGGGTATGTCGAAATGATGAAGAGAATGGAAAAAAACTAGCAAAGATACGGCTTTCAAATATTGGGCTTTGTATTTAAAACGTAAGAGAGACGCGCAGGAACACATAATTTGCGAGGTTCAGCTTGAAGACGCGTCCACGTCGAAAGTGATTCTTGCGAATCACGTCGACTCAACGTCGAAGCTCATTCTTACAACTTACAATTTACAATACGATAGCCTCTCCAGAGAAGCTCTCGATTCTCGGTCGGCCGGCTGACGGCCGCGCGCGCTCGTCTAATCGAGATTTATCCTCGTTGTTGCGCATCTGTCACTTCGCGCGCACCGAGGGCGCGTAAAAGAGGCGCGCGGGAGAGAGAGGAGTGGAAAGGAGAGGAGAAGGCGGTTTAAGAGAAAAGGGTGAGAGATGAGGAATCACTCGAGCCGCGCGCTCGCAGTGAGAGCTCGCAGCGGGATGCGTAATATTCCCGGGAAGTAAAGCTCCCGAGAATTTCAAGTTCCCCCTGCTCACCCTCCCACCCTCTCTCTCTCTCTCTCTCTCTCTCTCTCTCCCACTTCCGCACCCACTTGCTTCTCACGTCTCCTCCTTCCCCGTCACCGCCTACCACTCGTCCTCTCTCGCGGCAGGCAGAACGGTAGGTAGAGAGTGGCGGCCGCCCCTCCGACTACGAAGGGATGCAAATAACTGGTGATAACAACAGATAGCTCTGCTGTACGGTACGCCTGCCTGGAGCTGGAGCCTGCCGTGGCGTGTGGGTGACTACGATGATAGTAGTGGTCGCCGATGGTTTGGGTTTTGACGAAAGGAAGGGGGTAGCGTAAGAGAACCAAGCGAAAACGGGGGCAACAGCGAGAGAGGAAGGGGAGTGGGAGGAGCGGGAGAATCAAGCTTGAAGAGTAGGCCAGGGGGAGAGTTGAGGGACAGGCAGGCAGGCAGGCTGAGGCAGGCAAGCAGGCAGGCAGGCAGGCAGGCAGACAAGCAAACAGACAACCAGGCAGGAACCGTAGAGCCACGAAAGAGAAGAGGTATAGTAACGCGATGATGGTGGTGGCGGTGGCGGCAGCGGCAGCGGCAGCATCGAAGGGAGTGTCGAGGGGGTGACAACAGAGACCGGATGGAAGAGGCAGAGTAGATGGAAGAATGGTAGTCTCTCTGACGCCGTCTCTGTCGGTCCGGTGTTCCAATCGTGCCTGTCTCTCCTCCTCCGTCCAACTGTATCCGAGTCTGGTAGAAGGGTGCGAATTGGAGCGATGAGGATGAATCGTCACGCGAGAGAAAGAGAGAAAGGGGGGGGGGGGGGGGGGAGAGAGAGAGAAAGGCGAAAGAGGGGAAGGGGTCTTACGGGGGTGGCCGCAACCGTGGGCTCGGCAAAGGGGGGAGGCAGAGGATGCTGGGGGACGTCACTCGCTGTCGCATCGAGCGCGAGCGATGAGTGGCGCGCGCTCGCTCGTCTTTTGTTTGCGATACGATGCGACTGCCAGCCTGGTGACAGCGATGACGTGGTGCGGCGTCGGGGGACGACACGGGGCGGTTCAGGATCGGGGAATGGTAGCGGCAAGGGGGACGAGCGCGCGCGCGCGCGCGCGCCACTGGAAGGGGGCAGAAGCGCCCCGCGGGGGGTGGAGAACGGGGGTGGATGGAACGAGCCTGGGTGAGAACTCTCTATCATAGAGCTACGCTACACTTAACGCGACCCACGCGCACGCATGCATGTACGTACGCACGTACGCATGCACGTACATACATATACACGTACGTATCATGTGCGCGACACCCGCGCGGCGCGGGGCGCTGGTGGCCGTAATCCTTCTCCGGCCTCCGGTCCTACCGCGCGTTTCCCACATT